CCCCCTCCCGCATCCAACCCCCCTGCCTCCAGCCCAGAGCCCCCTCCCGCCATCCTGAACCCCTCATTTCTGGCCCCACCCCCGAGCCCTGCACGCCCTCCCGCACCCCAACCCCCTGAGCCAGCCCGGTGATACGGTGCAAAGGCCACTCAGTGCCTGGCCCTCAAAGGTAAGAGCCAATTTCCAAGCCTGGAGCCTAGAGTAAACGAGAGAAACCCAGCGTGCTCACCACCATCCTCCACACACCCAGCAGAACCACCGCCCTTCTGCCTGTCCCCAAATGGGCCCGGGCTGGAAGGAAGTTCCCTGCCGTGTCAGAGGGACCCACCTCTTGTCTCTTCCCTACAAAGAGTTATAGAGATTCATCAGGAGCGTTCCACTCTTGGTAACGTGCACTAAGGAACAATGCAGCCAAATAGTCATGCGCTCTTTACACAACATGGTCTGCACTCTGCATAGCACGCTGGCACCATTCCAAACACAATGATTTCCCCCTCCGTCTTCTGCTGGACATGACGCCAACGTTTTGGGCCTGCTCCGCCTCCTACTCAATGTTTTGCTTGTTGACTTTACTGGAAGCAGGGTTAAGCTCTCAGTGAGTAAAAAACCATCTATATCCCGTTTAAATACAATGAAATACAACCTGCCTTCTATGCTGAGAAGATACACAATGGAGTGATGCAATCCAGAGAAAAGTACTTTGTCACAGCCTAACAACGTTCCACTTGCCCGCTCACCTGGGAAGAGTACTGGTTTGATGGACAAAAATAAATAATTATTATTTATTATTATAATTATTATTATTAGCCATGCAAAGGGCGGGCAAGTCGTTTAGTACCGGGTACATTTTCAAGCCAGTTTTACAATCCGTGTCAGAAATAATGCAATTGGTCCATTTAACCGACGTTTGTATTCTGTGGTGACGTCCAGCTGAACCAGGAACAACATGAGTCAATGGCTGGAAGTTGAACCTAGACAAATTCAGACTGAAAACTAAGCATACATTTTTAAGGGTAAGGGTTTTAACGTGTGGGACAATTTACCATGGTGGATTCTCCATCATGGACAATTTTCAAATCAAGATGGGATGTTTTTCTAAAAGCTCTGCTCTGGGCAGTTCTCTGGCCTGTGGTATGCAGGTCAGACTAGATCATCACAGTGGTCCCTTCTGGCCTTGGAATCTACGAATCTGTCCAATGAGATATGATACGTCCTCCCTCTGCTAACAGGCTGGGAGGAGCTCATATTTGGCTGTTATTATATTCAGAATACCTAGATCAGCGGTTCTCAACCTGTGGGTCGGAACCCCAAAGTGGGTCGCGACCCCATTTTAATGGGGTCACCAGGGCTGGCGTTAGACTTGCTGGGGCCCGGGGCCAAAGCCTAAGCCCAAGCCCAAGCCCCAAACCCTCAGGTTTCAGCTCTGGGTGGCCGGGGTCAAGTTACAGGCCCACACACCTGGTCCTGAGCCCTTGGACTTGAGCTTCCCCTCACACACACACGCCCCCCAGGGGGGCGGCCAGGCTGGAGTGGGCTCAGGCTTCGGTCCCCACTCCTGGGGTCATGTAGTAATTTTTGTTGTCAGAAGGGGGGTGCGGTGCCATGAAGTTTGAGACCCCCCTGACCTAGATTATCCTGACTTCCAGTCACAGGTAAAACCCAAAAGCTTATTGGACATCTAGAAAATATTCTCTTTCCAGTAACATACACATGGTTTGAATTTCACCTTCCATCCGTCTAGGAGCAGTTTGAGAATCTCCCCATTATACGATGAAGTTTAATATGTAAGTATTTTGCTAAGATTGTATCTGAACCAGACACACACAAACAGTATGTGGGGGGTGCGCCCATGCATGCTTACATACATGTATGCCATTAACTCAGTGAGCCAGTCCCAAAAGAAACCTAGGTATTTTCCTTTAAGTGGGTGAGCCCAACCCAGGGATGGGAGGCCCCGTCCCAAGCAGAACCGCACAGAGGGGCGGGCAAGTGGGTCAATTTGCCCCAGGTCCCGGGCCCTACAGGGGCCCCCACGAGAATATAGTATTCTATATTATTGCAACTTTTTTTATGGGAGGGGCCCCCGAAATTGCTTTGCCCCAGGCCCCCTGAATCCTCTGGGCAGCCCTGGTCCCAAGCACAATGACAAAGTAAGTACTTCAATACTTTGCAGAAAGCCGCAGCCCTCCAGACTGGCAAACCTTCTCTATGATCCCCCTCCTGCAGAGCTGGGGGAAGTACCACTCACTGCAGGGTGCGCAGAACCGCCCGCCTCGCACAGCTGCTACCTGAAGGACAGGTCCTGAGAAGTTATACTCCTATTAGGGTGACCAGATAGCAAGTGTGAAAAATCGGGACAGAGGCGGGGTAATAGGCACCTGTATAAGACAAAGCCCCGAATATCAGGACTGTCCCTATAAAATCAGGACATCTGGTCACCCTAACTCCTATGTGCTATAAAATATCACGCGCCATGTGGGTGGACGTGCAGAATACATTAATGGGCACTTGTTCAGGAAAACCTAGCAGTTCGCCGGACAGGAGAGTTACTTCATTATCTGAAACTCCTATAAACACACCATTCCACTCCTTTCACTGTATTTGTAGACGAACTGTACGTAGACAGAATATTTACCGAATGGTGGCGAGAAAAGAGACCGGAGAGATTTGACTGGCCACCAGGAATCCCACCCTAAACAGATCTCTCTGGGTCACTGCACTACACCATCCACAAGGTAAGAAGTCACAGAAGTTTGTTCTATTGACTGGGAACTACTGAGTGCCTGCTCACATCTCCCTCTGTGGGTCTGTGGTAGGCAAGTCGCAAAGATGACATTTCTTTCTTAACTGGACAGAAAGGTAGGTAGATGCCACAAGAACCTGCCCTAGTGAAGTGTCTTTCACGCCAGCAGAACAGTATGATCCCCAGGGGAACAGTTATCTTTGTACAGTATGGTTTCCAAAAAAGACAGTTTTCAGAGAGCAGGAGGAAAGCGTAACAATGGAGCAGTACCAGCAGATGAGATGGTTTGCTGGGCTTCAAAATGAGGTGGGGCCCATGAGTCTGACCTGGCTGGCTCTTAGAACACAGACTAAAACAAATGACGCTGAGAGTTACTAAAAGTCATGAAAAGTGTCCAAGCACTAGGAGCCAGGTGTTCTTTGCGAGACGCCTCTCCTCTCCTCTGTTCTCCTCGCCGGAGCGCAAGCCGCCCCCCTGGCCTTGTGCCTCAGCACTCGAGACTTGCATGCAGACCTGTGCAACCGCACTGCCCTGGCAACGCTCAACAGCGCCGGGACTCTGCCCCGGCTCACCCCTGCCATGTTGTACTCGATGGAATGTGCATATTAACTCTCCACCCGCCCCCGCTGCTCTCTGTGCTGCCCTGGGATCCCCCAGCCAGGCAGGGTCTGGGGACCGCCAGCCGGGCCCCCGGCCCCCAGCAGTGCCCGGGCCGGTGGCGGGGCG